TGAAACTTACTCTGTGGTATTAAGACACTAGCTAAAGTGTAGTGCTGCGCAATTTAAGTTTAAAGTCTGTTTCTGTGTGTTTCTGAAAAAGCAAAAATTCTCTCTTGAGAAAATAATGTTCCCTTAACAGGCAGCCATCAAAACAACAGGGGAAATTTTTGTGCTGTCATGACAGTGCGTGTCTAATAATCCTACTTCACTTGAGCCACGCTTTCCAGATTTTCATTTTGATATAGAAATAGTAAAGAGCAGTGTTTCTTTGCAGTGTAAAGTAATGAAATAAAATAGCTTGAGACACTCTACCCTTTAAAGGCTTCAGTTCATCCAGGTAGTTAAACACCTGCCTAAATATAAACCTTTAAATATGCAAGTTGATCCAGCAACACATGCGAGTTGATTGAGCAACACATTTAAGCACTTATTAAATATCCTGAAAGAATTAGAGCCTTAGGCAACACAGCCTGATGGAAATAATATAGGGCAATGGTCAGCTGAGCAGGCTTACTGAAGATGAGACGCAGCCTCGGTTGTAGCAATTAAAATCCATAAATATTTACGATTAAATGCAGTATATGTAATCATTTAACACAGACAAGAAAGCCAAAAAAAAGGATCAGTAATCTGTTCAGCTTACAGTGAATAAACCAAAGTAAACCCCTGTATAGGAGCCCTCAGAATACTGCAGATATAAAAGAATTCAAGCAGAAACAGGCTTTACTTTTTTTTTACTCTCCCCAGGCTTAAATCAAAATTGTAACAACAAGGAAAATGCCACCCTGACACTCTGGCAAGTAGTATTAACTACTAAAAGAACACAAGCAAAAAAGAGTGAACAAAGATACCATCAGTCATATGTACGTACAACTAAAGCCTCTGGCACGTCTTCAGCAGACGGAACTTCCCTTTTTTGGGGTTTGAGGATTATGAATGTTATCAGCAAAAACAAAACCGAAGCCACTTGTCAAGCTTTGTAAAGAACTGGACGCTGTGATGCATTCAGCTTCACAGCTGCGCCTGTATCAAATACCAGACTACAGGGGATGTCTTTATATTCCTTTTCCAATTTACCTCAGTCTTTCTTTGGGCCCCAAAAATGCACCTGCATCATCTGTTTTGTAAACGAGCTGCAGCACAGCTGTGAATACTGGGGTTCGCAGGCAGACTTTCCTCCCTTGGTATTCCTTCATGATTTCTCCCTACCGCATCCGTCTTGCATTTTTCACTCCCCTGAACCCACGTCACAGGCCCTGTCTGGCATTTAACCACTGCCATTTTTTGTGCCGACCCTTCCAGATTGCCATCTTCCCAAGATGTGCTTCTTTCAGATGTACTGTCGTGATCTAAGAGGACAGCTCACAGACATGGACGGAGGAACACTGAGTCAGGCCTTGAATTATGCTATTTGATACAATAATGAGTGAACCAAATTAAAAAACCAAAGCATCTTTGACAGAGAGAGAATTCGCACATGCTTCTCTTTCTCTGGTTACTAACATCAAATGATTCAAACCACAGTATTCCAGGAGATTTCATCCCAAGTTACCAAAGATGCTACAGGATCCACCGGTCCAGATTTTCAACTCTCTTGTCTCAAATCTCCAAAGCATTTTACATTTGTGATGCAACTATGAGAAAGTCTCCTAAGAGAGGCATTAGACTGTACTGCTACGAACACTGTGCTGTGGACAGGCAATTTGGTGTCTCTTAGTGAAATATGAAAAAAAAGGCAACAAAATTTTACAATGATTTGCATGACTGCCGTCTTGCTCATTTTTCACCCGCTGCCAGCATACAGGAGAGTTCCCAGCTGACTAATGTAAAATTTGAACAAAGCTAAAACCAGTGCTAATTTAAACAGGTGTGGTCACTACAAAAGAAGTGGTATTTGTGAGGGAAATACTGTCTTACTGATTTAGTAGAAAGGTATTAAACAGCCTTTTCCACTGCCTGCAAACCTCGTCAGGGATCCTAAGGGCCACCTATCCCACCTAGACACACACACACATAAAATTTCAGACTGTGGAAGAGACAACACATTTAATACTTCCGCAGAACAGAAAGCAAAGCAAGCCCCTTCTCATTGGTCTTGCTTACGCTGTTCTTCAGCTCATCTCTACACCCATTTCCATGTCCAGTACAGCGACTGACGACCTGTTGTGAGGAAGCTGCAGCCAAACACCTGCACTGAAGCGAAACCGGCGAGCAGCCTGCATGCACCAGGAAGCACGCTGCTGTCTCCACTCAGTGACAATAAGCTGATAGACAGATGGCCATACGTAGATGGATGTAACTGAATCTATGTGTGCATGAATCTTCTCTTCATTTGACAAGTAAATCAGTCCTCACCCACTGTAATACAAAAAATTAATCTGGCCACATATGCTACATACAGATTAGCAAGCACTTCACCCCAGCTTTTGAAAATAAACCCTAACAACCATTTAAAAACCCTCTAACACATCAATACGCAGTTATTCATAAAACACAGCCTAATACATACATAGCATATGTATATCTGAAATATGTGTGATGCCCATGGGATCCTTGATTGCCTTTATTTTCCCTACCCTTGGGCCAGTGTTGCCTGTTTCTAGTAGCCCCTTCTGGCTGTATGAATCAGCTTTAGCCACGATTTCTAATCTACACGCTCACTGGAACAACTGGGACCTCATGCTGTGGTTGAGCTGTAACTACATCAGCAAATTAGTTATTTTTTAATTTTCAAATGACATCCTGATTCTACTTCCTAGCTTATTAACAGCAGCTCTTAAACGGCGTTAATCAATTATTTCTACCTGCAGTAAATGCACTCTAATCATTCTTAAATCTGTGCTTGTTCTTACTGGCAGTGATGCAGTTTAACAGCAAGATCAGCACATGCTTTGTGCACACCTCCCTCTAGTGGAAGCAAAGCCCCAGAAAATCAGCAAAATACAGTAAGGCAGTTTCTCCAGGGAGACACAAAATGTTACAGATAACTAATAAAGAAGGAATGGTGCCCAGCTGTTCTTATAACATCAGCTCAAGACTACCAGGAAAGGCAATGGAGATCTAGTGAAATGCTAAAAATACAAGAAACAGAAGACTGACTTGAGAAAACAATCTTATTGGATTTATAAACATTTATTTCATTGCTAAGAAGAGGCCTCTAACAATACAGTCCTGGAGATTTACTTTGTGAACTTTAAGGGAGTGGTTTGGAGAGAGCAAAACGCGTCGCAAATTATGTTTCAAAAAGCTATCCTCCTTGAGAAAGCCCGCTGTAAGTTTTTCAGCTGAAGGTCTGAATCAGCTTCACTGCTGCGCAATGGAGGTAGGGACCACTTTGGTACCCCAGCATTGCTCTTGGTGAAAGATAAACCCCATCTAAACAAGACTGACTTTATTCAACAATATGAGCACTTCAACTGGTGTAACTGCACCAGCACAGCTCCCCATCTGCAGAGTCAGGTATAAAACTGTGAAGTATGCTAGTGTCAAAACTCTGAGAGTGCAGCTGCAACCTGGGAGGAGTCGGCACAGGCCGTGGCCCCAAGGTTAGGACCGTCCCACACACGCTCAGCAACCAGCCAGGCAGCCCCATCAGTGGCAGTGCTCCAGCCCCTGCAATCTCCCCTTCCTTGGTAGCTCTGTGGCACTGCAGCAACGTCGCCCTGTGCTGCAACTGCGTCATGGCACGGCGCTCCCCTTCACACTGGGACACATGAACTCAGCTGGCACTAGCCGCTGTGCCCATTCACCTGCTCCACTTTGAGAAGCCGACGGGCTGTTGGCAGCAGGGCCGTGCAAGCAGACGGACAGCAGCTCCTGCCACCCCTCGTGATCCTACTTGTTCCTCCGGCTGCTCCCCGGGATGCACAGGTGCCTGCAAAGGGCTCTGTCCCACAATCCTTTTACTCCTGCAATAAAGAAGTTAAACTTTTCTGGAAGAACGTTAGTCTTTCCGAAGTGCCTTCAGGCCCCGTAGATGCACGCTCACCCTAGGGGCACGTCCGTTTCAATGAGACCATACAGAAAACAACGGTACACGCGCCACTGTTAACTAGCAGGTGAGAACACCACAAGGAACACCGCGTTTCGGCGGCGCAGTTAGGAAGGAGGGGAACATCGTGCCTCCACCGGCGCCTGCGGCCTCTGGGCGAGGC